ACTGCACCAGGAGGTGGGCATGGGCACCGGGGTGGCCGGAGTTAGAGCTGCACCAGGAGGTGGGCAGGGACACTGGGGTGGCCGGAGTTAGACAAGAGAGCACACTGCACATTTGTCTACTGGGGAAGTGGATGGTTGGGAACAGGACAATTTGCTGTGTTTTCAAAGTCAACTTGTGACCTGTCGTCATTCTCCTCATGCTCCTTTCAGCGTGCCTGCTAAGCTCTGCCTCTGTGGCCCTGTTAGAGCTGTGTCTGATGGAACACAACTTGAAAATGCTGGCCTAGAGACCTGGAAGTGACGGTTCATTGCAGTACCTGTTGCTACCTCTTCAATAAAATGAGGTCTGCCAGTGAAGTATCTAAGTATACATTTACAGTGTGACAGTAGATTTAGTATGCATACCTTTGCCTGTATCTACCACGGCATGATATATTTAAATAGAGAAAGTTAAACTTGTAACTGTTAAGGAACTATACCACGTGATCATTTGGGGGAAATGTTGGGAAAAGTCAGCAGGGAGGGAGGAAGGCGAGCGGGTGGCAAGAACGCCTGTGCCTACAAAACTCTATCATGAAAAATAATTTTAAAATGCTAGACTAGGATTTCATTTGTTAGTGGTAGAGAAGTTTCCTGTGCTCTTCTTTTTTTTTTTTTTTTGCTGTTATGTAATGTATTAGGCCTTTGACCCTCAGCAAATTGAGTAAACAGCGACTCACAGCCAAGTAACTTGTGTTGTGTTTAGAGGATAAGCCGGTTGTTACATGGTCCAAAGAGGTGGTTTTTCCTGTGCCACCAGAGTGGCAGTGTCCAGGCCTGTGTGCCGGGAGGAGGTGAGCCTGAGCCTTTAGGAAGCAGGGGGGCGAGGGAGAGGCTCTGGTGGCCCCCGTGAGATGTGCTTTGGGAGTGGGGTCTTGCAGTTTGACTGCAGAATGGCATTCAAAGGAGTGTGGGGGTGGGGGTTCAGGGTAACCAGCTTTCCGCCAGTGTGGCTGCCGGCTTCCAGGCCCACAGAGCATCCAAGCTGGAGCAGAGGCTGTGGGAGTTAAAGTAAAGGGGTTGGTGGAGAAGTGTTGCCTACACAAAACAGTGGGAAGGTGTGCCAAGGAAGAAGAGTGGAGGCCTGGGCTCAGGAAGCTGGCATGCCAGGGACAGTGTGTGTGCACAGGGTGACATCGGGCTGACATGGGGTCAGCCGCACTGGAAGATCCAATCCAACCCGAAAGTTCTGCAGTGTTTCTCACGGGATGGAGAGGGGCGCTTGGACCCTGCGTCAGACAGGTTGGAGAGAGTGGGAGCCAAGGGGCAGTGTGGGGAGGGCTGGAAGGAACGTGGTGACTTCTGGACGCCAGACAAGGCCGAGGCTAGAGGGCATGACAGCCCTCGGCCCTGCATGGTCCACACAAGGGGCTGGCCACTTTGTTGTGTGTGTTGGGCCAGGGAGATCGTTGTGACAGCCAAGATGTCTCTAGGCCTCTGTGAGAGCTGCCAGTCTGGAGCTTGAAGGTGACTGCGGCGGCCTCTCCCCTCTTCACAGCACCACTGCTTCTGCAAGACCGTTGGGTCTCATGCTCGTGGGAGAAGCCGGGAAACTGCAGGCACCCCGGGCTGGAGGCCTCTTTAAATAGTTGACCATTGCTTGAACTCATGTTAGTTTGCCTCAAGCAAAAAGCTCACCTGAGAATGAGGTCACCAAGGCTCCTGTTGTTTTAGGAAATTATAGAAAGTTTGACCCCTGTGGGGAAGGGTTAGGAATAGACAAGTCAGTGACTCATTCCTAAGCAGGGCCCAGTTCAGTGGAGATGGGAAAGCACCTTAGGCACATATTTTAGTGCCTAGCCTCTGCATTTTGCCTCTCTCATTGAGTGCTGTTGATTTGAGTATCCCTGAATGATCAAGGCAAGGCCATCCTTTAACTCACCAGGTGGTGCTCAGGTTACTGACTGATTCAGTTGTTTTCAGTTGCTCTGCCTTATCCCATAGAGGCAGAGGGGTGCAGAGACAGAGCTCAACCCCTGGTTGGTCGCCCAGGGCTGAGCTGGGGCCAAAACTGAGAGTCAAAAACTCAGTCCCTCACCTGGGTCCAAGACCCAGACCCAGGAGCCTGCACCCCTGCCTCGCAGAGGAGCTGGGGCCGTGACTGGACCAGGCCTTGAGCCCGGGCTCCCTTTGGTGCCCTCGTTGCTTCCCCTCCTTGCCCTTGTGTGCGCGCTCCTGACGCTCACTCGGCAGGCTCCGTGTTAATCTGGTCACAGTGTGGCATCACTGTCACCTTCCGTGTGGGACTTTCCAGTTCCAGCTTTCCACTGGAGCGTGATTCTGGCTTGTTGAAAAGACAGGGGAGAACAGGGAAAGGGAGATGGCTTCCATCTGGTGGTTCCATGTGGCCAAGCAGCCTTGGGCGGCTCCGTTGGAGTGAGGAGTGCGGCGGTCCAGTCGGGTGCCTGTAGGGGTGAGCCGCCATCATCTCTCTTCCCCGGTGGTTCCATGTGGCCAAGCAGCCTTGGGCGGCTCCGTTGGAGTGAGGAGTGTGGCGGTCCAGTCGGGTGCCTGTCGGGGTGAGCCGCCATCATCTCTCTTCCCCGATGCTAGGTTAGAGAGCGGCTGGGACTAGACGCAGGCGCCCTTAGCACTGCACAAGCGCTGCTTCTGCCTCTCCACTCAGAGCTCTAGTTCCTCTTTGGTAAATTGTTCATGGCAAACTGTGTGATTTACTAAAAACTTGGGAAAACCAGTTGGAGTAATCTTTTTTTTTTTTCATTATTGATTACATTTCATTTTGTTACACAGTTTTACAGGCTCTGGGATTCCCCAACCCCTCCTCTGCCCTCCCCCATGGTGGATTGCTCCACCTTGTTGCTGTATTACATTTCAAATTCAGTCGAGATTCTTTCATTGTAGGCATATACCAGGCATAGAGTCCAGCATCTTACTGTCCAGATCAATTCAACGATTTCTTGGGGAAACCATCTCTGGTCTGTAGGCAGAGCTGGCACAATATCATCCTGACTATTTAAAAGCCCCAAAACAACATCAGCAACAATTTACAACATTATGGAATTAATTGACATGGTATTGAGTAACCAATATGCTAAAAAATGCAGGTTCCTAACCACATCCTGCGACTACTTCATTGACATTTCAATTTTAGTTCATACACAACCGGCTGCTATACACCTTAAAATGGCTATAGGGTACTATTCAGCTGTCTTGTGTCTATTTTCATTTTAGTATTTAGCAGTTTATAGTGTTGAGGCATAATTTTTATTGAACTTGGCAGATTTTAGGATAGTCTAAACTGGCTTCTAACTCTAACAAGGCATATGTCAACAGTTGAGGTACAGAACAGTTTTAGGAGGGGTGTGCAGAGAAATCTTCAATGCCTTCGTGGGGAGTAACTAATCTTTGTGTCCTACCTAGTAAGGTATGTGTGAGTCCACGCTGTTTCTTGTCTAGTTCTAAGCTTTCCTTTTTGTTCTCTATCTGTTCTAATTTATTACTGTTATTATTGTTATTTTGTTTTTATTTTAGGGGGCTCCAGAGCAACCCTGATGGTTATTACAGGAGAGGGTGGAATCCAAGTTTTAGCTAAGTGAGGACCAGAGAGCTCTTCTCTCAAGACCTGAAGAAAGTTGACAGTTTTTCTGTTTCTGCGGGCCGCTCAGGGCTCGTGGCTGTTGTTCTGATGACCTTGGATCCTGCCAGGAAGGATTTGGGCTTCTTCTATGCCATGTAGGAGATCCACACGGGAGTGGATGACCTCAGAGTTCTCGGCCTCCGACGGCACTCAGTTGAAATAATCTTACATACTTTGTATGTGATTTGTCAGTGTATAGCATATCTTATTCCTTAATTCTTTAATTTCTTCAGTCTCGGATATAATAATGAACTCAAATACAACCTCATTCCTGCCTCCCAGAAACCTTGGCAATCTGCTTTTTCCCTATAGGAAAATACTAAAGTATAATGATTGATTGTTTATTTGCATAAGCTGTATTGAAAGAAAACAGCCCGCCTGTTTAGATGAGGCTGAGCAAGTTGACGGCAGCAGAACCTGCCTCTGTGCCTGGTCCGCAGCACTGGGGATTATTCTCACAGGTTGCAAATGTCAGAGGAAATGAGATTTTCTGATAAAAGTGGAAAAGCTCAGAGCAAGAAGGGAAGGAATTGTTTTTGGACAAGTCAGAGCAGGGATGACTGAGTGTGGCTTTCCGTGGGAAAGGGCCGGTGTCGCTGTGGTGATCACCCTGCTGTGGGTGTAGCATTCTGTTGACAGGCTATGAGAGCAGGCCCAGGGAAGTTAAGAAATTTAACACTACATAGCTAGGAAATAAAGTACAAGGATTTGTGCCTTGAAATTGAAGCTATTATATCATGTGCCAGGCTAGCAGGGACATGGGGAGTAGTGCTTCAGCGATGCTGCTGGTGTCAAATGCAGGAGAGAGAGTGCGACCTGACGCGCCCCCATAGCGACTACTTGTTGTCTTATGTGTTCATAAAGATCGGCATTGAGCAAAGTTGGTTTTCATTTTTTTTTTTTTTTGAAAAAAGGATATAGTTCTTGGAACCAGATGCTTGTTTCAAAATACTTGACAATTGTATTGACAAGTGCAGCGGGGCGATTGGACAGAGGGTGTGTCGTGTCCTGCGCCTGTTGTGAAGCGGCAGTGCTGTGTGTGACTGCAGGCAAGTGGCCCTGTGTCAGAGCATGCAGCTGGCAGCTGGCGGAACTGGCTTTCGCAAGCAACTCTTAGCGAGTGCTGGTGCTCTGCAAGCCTAGCTGAACGCGCCGGCACCTGCTTCCTCGGGCCTCGCTTGTTAGCTGACCAGGTTAAGATTCCAGCGTGTGGGCATCCTCAGGGAGGACTCCTGCAGTCTGCACGGAACCTGTCACGGAGCACCTGGGGGCGGAGGGCTGGCCGCTGTGGGAGCACCCCGGGCAGGGCCCGGCCTTGTCGGGAGGCATGGCGCGCTCTTCCTAACGGGCCTTCTTCTCTCAGGGAGGATGCTGGGGAGCCCGACTCCTGGAGCAGCCTGTCGTACGAGATCCCTTGCGGAGAGTGCTCCGTGAGGCACCACCGGGGGCTGGGCGTTTACACGCTGACCTCGGGGGCTGAGGCGCGGCGGGAGTCCCCGGCTGCTGAAGAGAGCTGCACGGGACAGATTTTTAAACTGATGAACATCCAACAGCAGCTAATGGTAAGGAAGAATGTTTGCATTTTCTGGTGCCTGTGCACTTCGGGTGTGCCCCTCCACAGGGAACCTGCGTCATTCAAACAGAAGCCCCGAGGGCTGTGCGCAGGCCACACTGCGTGCTCGAGGGTCAGAGAGGCGGCAGTTGGCAGAGTCCCCTGGCCGAAAGCGGATGTGCGATTTGTGTCCATTTCATCAAAGTTGGTGGGCAGAACCATTCCTGGGATCGCTGCTAAGAGCCGCAGCGGGGTTTGCATAGCTAGTGTAGTGACATTGGCCTTGCTGCTGCGCCTAAGTCAGTAGCTGTCCGGTTAGCAGGTCACTAAAGCGCTGAATTTCCGACTGCACTGAAACCTTGGGAATGGAGCTGCCAGTCGTGCAGCATTACTGGGCCCCCTGCAGTGTCACCAGGGGAAGCAGCAACATCCCAGCCCGTAACATCTCATTGGCTAAGTTCAGATACATTTTTTTGCCTTGTTTATTCCAGAACTGATTTAATTTGGAAACAGCTTGACCACCATTTCATTTGAGGTCATCTGAGGTCATCTTGGTGCCGGAGGTTTCCTGGGAAGCAGGCTGCACTTTGATGGGCTGCCTCGAGCGCTCACAACCATGCTGCTTCCTGGCACTCAGGTTTTCCCTTAGGACTCCATGCTGGGTGAGCAGTGCTCCCCTTGGCTCAGACTGTGGCTGCCAGCCCTGCCAGGGAGGGCGTGGTGGGCAGAACAGCACGAGCATCAGGGCACAGTGGCAGAGCCCAGGAGCCTTGCCCAAGCTTTCTGGCACATCGCACACTCACACAGGACAGCTCTGTGGTGGGCAGGGCCAGTGTGATGAGGGCACCCGCATGCTTAGGGTTTGCTGGGTGAAGGGGTGAGTGAGGGCCCAGGCAACAGTGGACTCTGCACCAGGTCTCCCATCCAAGTACTAACCAGGCCCGACCCTGCTTAGCTTCCGAGATCAGACGAGGTCGGGCGCGTACAGGGCGGTATGGCCGCAGATGGCTCATTGTTACAGGATTTCTGCACATGTTGATAGGTATGTTTATTAAAGATCCTCCTGGTTGCTTTTCTCTGCTTTCTTAGGCCCTGTATGCATCCATGTGAAATAATGTCTCCAATTACAACTGTGCATTAATTGTCGATTTTTCCTTTTTTCCACATTGTATTGTTGAACATTTCTTCCATTTGCACAGTGGTCTTCAGGGTGACTGTTGAACAGCGTGTCGCTGTCTGTGGGGTTGGTCCACTCTGTTTACAGTGCCTGCCCTGTCCTGCTGGACCAGACGGTGGCCACCGCCCCAGGCAGCCTGGGCCCTTTGTCAGAAGCTCCAAGAAGAGTGGTGGCCTTGGCTAGGGCGCTCGCGTCCCGTTGGGCACCTAGCTCTGGCTTGGGACTGCAGCCTCCTGCCAGGATGCACCTTGGGTTCTATGGCGGGACTCCAGTAATGGGGTTCCTGCCCCCACTCGGAGATCAGCTTGTGCTCTGTCTCCTGGCCCCGCTCTTGGTCTAACCCAGCAGCCGTGGGCTCTAGCGGAGTGAGTCAGTGGATGCTTATCTGTTTGCGTCAAAGAACAACTACCATTCTATCTTGCCACTGTTGCTGCAAGCAGTTAATTTGGATGGGAGATGGTGTTTTGGGGACAAGACCCTTCGTGACCCCCGTAAGAGGCACCTGGCTGCACCTTGGCATTCAAAGCAGTTTTTGCCTCTGGGCTTGGAAGTTTGTTTTGACCCCCCCCCCCCCGAGAGGTGTTGTGGTATAGCAAATTAAGCTACCACCTGTAGTGCCAGCATCCTATAGGGGCCCTGGTTCTAATTCCAGCTGTTCCACTTCTGATCCATCTCCCTGTGAATGTGCTGGGAGAGCAGCAGAGGATGGCCCAGGTGGCTGGCCCCCGTCTCCCCTCCCAACCCCATGGAAGACCCACAGGAGGGATGGCCCAGGTGGCTGGCCCCCGTCTCCCCTCCCAACCCCATGGAAGACCCACAGGAGGGATGGCCCAGGTGGCTGGCCCCATATTTCCCCCACCCCCCACATTGAAGACCCAGAAGGAATTCCTGGCCCCTCACTTCTCCCTACTCTGACCTGGCCACTCCTGAGCCATTGCATCCACTTGGGAGAGTGAACCGGGGGTGGGAGACCTCTGTCTCCCTGTGTGACTCTGCCTTTTACTATATAAAATACATTTTTTAAAAAAAAGATTTATTTATTTTTGTTGCAAAGTCAGGTATACAAAGAGGAGGAGGAGAAACAGAGAGGAAGCGCCTCTGTTGATTCACTCCCCAAGAGGCCGCAACAGCCAATGCTGAGCTGATCTGAAGCCAGGTGCCTGGAGCCTCGTTTGGGTCTCCCACATGGGTGCAGGAACTCAAAACTTTGGGCTGTCCTCAGTCAGCACCAACCAGGCCACAGGCGAGGAGCCGGGTATGAAGTGGGGCCGCTGGAGTCAGAACTGATGCCCATATGGGATCCTGGCGCATGCCAGGCATGAATTCTAGCCACTATGCTACTGCACCAGGCCCTAAAATCTGCTTTCGTAGGTGGAGGATTAGTGGACTATACTACGTCTGCTTTCTTGTTTCTAGTTTTTTTTTTTTAAAGATTTATTTATTTATTGGAAAGTCAGATATACAGAGAGGAAAGACAGAGAGGAAGATCTTCTGTCCGATGATTCACTCCCCAAGTGACCGCACTGGCCGGTGCTGTGCCGATCCGAAGCCAGGAACCAGGAACCTCTTCCAGGTCTCCCACACGGGTGCAGGGTCCCAAGGCTTTGAGCCGTCCTTGACTGCTTTCCCAGGCCACAAGCAGTGAGCTGGATGGGAAGTGGAGCTGCCGGGATTAGAACCGGCACCCATATGGGATCCCTGTGTGTTCAAGGCGAGGACTTTAGCCACTTGGCCATGCTGCCGGGCCCCTTGTTTCTAGTTTTTTAAAGGTTCATTTTATTGTTATCAGAAAGGCAGATTTACAGAGAGATGCAGAGGCTCAGAGAAACATCTTCCATCCACTGGTTGACTCCCCAAATGGCTGCAGTGGCCAGAGCTTAGCCAATCTGCAGCCAGGAGCCAGGAGCTTCTTCCAAGCCTACTGTGGGTACAGGATCCCAAGGACGTGGGGATCCCCCGCTGCTTATTCCAGGCTGAAAGCAGAAAATTGGATTAGAAGTGGAGCAGCTGGGACACAGACTGGCTCCCCTGTGGGAGCCTGGCGCTTGGAGCTGGAGGGTTAGCCAGTTGAGCCGTCATGACGGTCCCCGTCATCTACGTGCAAGTTTAAACTAGAGAAAACACTCATTTCCTGCTCGCATTTTAGGCCATTTTTAATATCCAGGTGGATGTAGATATGACCAAAATTGTTTGGAAGGAGATAAAATTCTTTTGCACCCGTTGAAATCAACCCTTGTCTGACCTGGAAGGTCTGAAGCGGTGGGCACCTCAGCCCAGTAGGTTCCTTTCTTGTAGATGCGGAGTTCCTTTCCCCTTGGCCGGTTTTTAAAGTATCTTTCATTTCCTCCTAGAAAACAAACCTCGGGCAGATGGACAACCACTTGCCCTTGATGGTGACAGCACAGGACCCCGGCAGTGCACCCCGCACCCCAAAGACAGATGGCTGCTTCCTGCCGGGTGCACCGCAGCCCTGGGGCAGCCAACAGCTTCCTCTTTGCCAGCCCCAGCGGGCTGCACGCTGCCAAGGAGGCCCCACTGGACAGAGTGACCGTGCCTGTGCCCCACTGAGCCTGGCTGAGGGAGAGCGCCCGGACCAGCCCTGCAGGCGGGAGGAAGGCGTGGCCGCAGAAGGGGAAGAGGCGGAGCCAGCGTGTGCCCTGGACTGCAGAGCTGTGTCTGGGCAGGACAGCTGCCTTCCCCGTGAGCCTCGCTGTGAGGTGGAGGGCGCAGAGGGCTCCCCGTGCTCTGGAGACAGTCAGGGAGAGCATGGAAGAAAGCCTGGAACCCTGAAGAGTGGAAGTAGTGTGCCCCCAGGGGGCACGGTCATGGAGCCAGGCCTAGCCTGGTGTCTCCCTGGGGGCGTGCTGGCAGCTGGGGTGGCCACAGGTGCAGCCGAGCAGGAATTGGAGGCCCTGGCTGCTGCCACGCAGGAACAGGTTCCTCAAGGAAGGGAGAAGAATGCAGCGGGGGGATTCGGAACCTCAGATGCCGGCACAGCTGGAGCTGCTTCCCTGGGAGGAGGCAGGCCTGCTGCTTCTGCGCTCCGTGTCAGTCATGGAGGAAGTTCTGTTGAGAAGGCTGCAGGAACGGAAGCTCCTGGAACAGGACCCGTGCAGAAAGCTGATGTCCCAGTGGGTCATGGCTGCCTGAGCCCTGCGGATGCTCTGGACAAGATTCCAGGTGGATTAGAACCTGGCACCGCCCTGGCAGCAGGCCTGGGTAAGGCCGTGCCCTCCTTGGATGAGGATTCCACACGGGACCAGCGGTCAGAAGTAAATTCCTGCACTGATGGGAGTTGGCAGGGCGCCCACTGTGCCGGTGTGCAGTGCACAGCGCCTCCTAGTGGCGAGTCTGGGGCACAGCACCCCAGGGACGAAGACCCGCCCAGCATGCCAGGTGCTTCCCCTGCTGTGGGCTGTGCAGACCCACAGTGCCCTGTGCCCTCCCAGCCTGTGGGCGAGACCCACGAGCCGGAGGATGACTATCCTTTTGGAGTTTTGCATGAAGTGGGCCAGAGGAAAGAGTTGAAGCCAGATACATTTTCAGTAAATGCACTTGCGGTTGTCTCACCTCCACACGAAGTTGTCTCTGAAACTGCAGAGGCAGTGGTGCCAGGCCAGGCGGTGACATCAGACAGCACTGTCTCTCTGGCAGGCGGTCCCGGCTGTGAATCAGGAACCAGAGATGACGCGCTTTGTCCTGTCCCCTCCCACAAAAAGGGGACGGCAGCTCCTCAGCTGCACGCAGCCGCAGAAGGCCTGGAGCGCCGGGCCGGGGAGCCCGGCAGGCCTGGTGAGACGGGGCCATCTGCCTCGTGTCCTACTGCCGCCCTTGAGCCTGGCATGGGGAATACCAGCCCCGCAGGACTTGGTGGGCAGCTGGAGGGGCCTGGCCCGTCGGCACACCCTGAGCCAGTGACCGCCGAGGGTGGCCCCGAAGCTGCCCTGCAGGGCGTGGGGCCGGCTGCCCCAGAGAGCCCTGTGGCTCCGAGACAGGGCGATAGGGCGGAGGCGGCGACTGGACCTTCCACCGAGGAAGGCACACTTCCCTCAGGGGCGCTGCGAGCTGAGCAGCCGGCTCCTGGCCTTGAGCCCTGGGCATGCTCTGAGAACCCCAGCCCGGCTGCCCATGGCGAGGACCAGGCGCTGCAGCCCTGCCACTCGCCGGGCACACCCTCTGCCTGGCTGAAGATGGAGACGGTGTGTGATCCGGAAGTGGCCCTGCAGGGCTCTCTGCTGTCTGAGGGTGGGGCTGCAGGGGGCCTGGGGGTACCAGGAGCAGGCCCGGCCACAGAGCAGAAGCGCTCCCCTCTGTCGCCACAGGTGCGACCAGAGGACTCCGAGGCTCCGAGCTGCGAGCTGCCCTTGGTGCAGGGTGTTGGCACGAAGACCTCTCCCTCCCAGGAGAACGCGGATCCCCACGGGGTGAGGAGAGATGAGGCGGTGGGCACTGCTGCCGCTGGTCCTCAAGGCCCCTCCAGGCCCGGGAGCAAGGACTTTTCTCACGACTCCCTGGATATCCCATTGCCCGAAGTTGTGCTCGGGATGGAGAACAGTGTGACCTTGGGCCTGCCGGAACCAGCACTGGGCGGCGTCCTGATGGACGTGCCTGCGGCTGCGGCCCCAGAGATGCCCCCTGCTGACTGCCAGGAAGATCGGCTGGAGGGTACAGACCACAGCTGTGCTGGGTGCGGCGCCACCGACACTGCAATGGATGGTAAATCCCAGTGGCCTGTCCTCCAGGCGCGGCTCCCGGAGGATGAGGCCCCAGCTGGTGGGCTGCCGTGCAGGGCAGCCTTGCCCACAGGCGGGGACAAGAGTGCTTGCCCTCTGCCTCCCGGGCTCTCTGCCCACAGGCAGCCTCTACCCCAAGGAGCCCACTCGATCGAGGCAGCTGCCAACCACATCGTGGAGGCGGTCATGGAATGGGTCAGGGCCTCGGGAGCCCTGATGCCCCAGGGAGCACATGCCCATCCCGAGAGCGTCTCTGCGGAGGAAGGGGGCGCCCGGCCCCCCGAGGTGGCCTTGCAGGAGTCGGAGGAGAGGAGCCTGCCTGTCCGAGGACCCGCAGCAGCTGCAGGTGAGTGGGGCTGGCATGGCAAGTGGCCTCACGCGTATCTGTGCCCGTGCCCACGAGGTGCTGAAGTCTCCGGGCAGAGCAGCTTTTGATTCCTGTGGAGTCGACCCTGTGGGCCCTGATGGGGTTGTCTGTGAGCACCCCACCTGTTACCCTGAGGCAGCCGCCCCCAGTCCGTGCTGTCACAGGTGTGCTAAGGTGCTGAAGGAGTCAGGATACCGTCTGATCCCCGCTGAGCTCCTTGTGTTGAACAGGTGTTTTCTGGTCACGCCTGTGCCCTGGTCTGCCTTGGGAGCAGGGCCATGTGAGGGCGGTGGCAGGAACAGCTGCTAGCAGCCCTCCAGGCAGAGGGCCCGGCCTCCAGCATGGGGCTGTTAGGTCATTGGCTTGGCTTGGGTGTGGTGGGGGTGGCGGGGGTGGAGGGGCGGTGTTCCTTCCCTTGCTGGCCAGTGGAGCCATTCCATTGCCTGTTGCTTTGGGGCAGCAGGCCTGGAGCCCAGGGCCCTGCGGGGCACGGGGTAGGATGCAGGATTTCCGTCTGCTGGGCTGCTGTTGTGGGCAGACCTCGCATCTGCTTATCTCTGTGAAGCAGCTGCCCCAGCACACTGCTCAGCGGCCTGGTCCCAGGTCAGCGGTGAGCCGGTGAGCCGAGGGGGCTGGAGCGTCAGAGGTGAGCTCGCTGAGGGCTCAGACTGAAGCTGAAACTTGAGTCCGATTTGCTCAGGACTCTTGAAGTGCTTAAAGGTCAGTTGGGACACCCGCTTTCATCCTGCCACCTGTTGCCAGCTGGGGCCAGCAGCTTCCTCTGGGCTCACCCCCAGGCTTCTGAGGGTGAGGCCTCCAGAGATTGTTTTTGCCTCTCTCTAATTTTTTACAATCCTCTTAAGCACAGTAGGTGTTAAGGGCGTGGGGAGAAACGATCTATACTGAAGAACAGGACTGGCCTGGGAGCAGAGCGGCTTGGCCGTGGCCCTCGGCTTCCCTGGTGGAGGCCCTCCGGCTGCAGCCCCTCTGTGCCGGGTTGAGGTTTCTGCTTTAATTGAGCTTTGCGTGTGGACGGCAGGAGCTTGCCGGTTGCTGGGCCCCCGGGCAGGTTGCTGTTTCAGGGAATGGGAGTGGCTGTAAGCTGACGCCAGCTCTGTTCCTTCCCCTGTGCTGTGTGCCTAGCCTCACCCAGGGAGGGCTGTCTCTTCCTGGCTCCTTGCTTGGATTTTAACCCAAGCCAGTGTGGGAGTCCCGGGGTTAGGGCCACCAGGAAGTGTTGGGCGGTGCTGAGGAATGCCGTGTAAGGTTTCAGCTAGGAGGGAAGTGTCGCTGGGCTGTGGGTTGGCGTGCTTGGTGTGGGCTCGGGACTTGTTCTGCTCTCGGAGTCACAGTCCGCTCTGGGCTCATGGTCGCAAAGTGTGGAACAGAGTGGCCTGTGATCAAGTTGGTGCTTTCTTCAGAAAATAGCACAAGCTTGGGCAAGTCCCTGGTCACATTGCCTTGGAACAGAGAGCATGTGACTGTGGCCTCAGGACCCAGGGCATTTCCAGCGAGTTGAGGTTCACTCGTGGACCGGCCCTCGTGCTGCTGGCTGAGGTTAAGGTGTTGGTCACGGCGCTGAGGACAGGTGCAGGACAGTGAGGCTGTGGCTCGGATCACTTCTCCGGGGGAACTAGGGGGAGAGCCTCCCACAGCTCCCCCGACGGCTGCACTGCGGCTGCTCCAGGAGTCCCGAGTCACGTTTCACCAAACGCAAGGTTTTGGTTCTCTGGGCAAGGAAACTTGTTTGCTGGTTTTAAAACTAGCTGCTAGTGAGATTGTATGATTAGGGCAAAGAAGGAAGAAGAAAGGTTTGTAAATGTTTGTTTATAGAAATCATAACTTTCCTAAATCTGAACGAGGGCTTGTGCTGGTCGCAAGCGCTGCTAGGAGAAACCCGAGTGGCATCTTTCACTCCTCGGGGGGGAGACTGCTCTGCCTGTCCTGGGCCCAGCGTGCTTTTGTGCCAGGGCAGCGGCACCAGTGGGTTCATGGTGACCGCAGGGAGCCTTCTGTGCGAAATGAAGCTGGTTCTGTTTGTGTTTGCATTGCCAAGGTGAACTGTGACTGTCCCACCACAAGTCCCGTAAAGCCAGGCAGGCGCCTGAATTAGCCCCTGACCTCATCCTGATCACTTCCTTCCTGTGTTGATGGGCCAGTGACAGAAGCCGCCAGGCTCGGGTCTGGCAGGCGTGGCCAACTGAAGGACAGCTGTGTGTTTGCGAGAAAGTACACAAAGACCTTTTCCCTAAGATAAGAAATGGCTAGTTTGTGATTTTATTTTGGCTTCGGAAGAAATACAAATCAAAAGTTAGTTTACTGGAACTGTTACTGTGAGGGCTGGATCAGGGTTTATGGTTTCTTTTATGAGACAGCCTGGTCTCGGCCTGGCCTCACTCTTGGGCCTGTTGCACTTGACCTTCTGTAAGTCACTTGGTGAGCATTCCAGGTGGGACCACCCAGCTTGAGCCATTGCCCCTAACTTGCAGACTGACTTGCCCATGGTCAGTCCGAGCTGGGCATGGACGTTGTCTATACTGCCTCCAAAGCCACATGGACAGGGCAGCCCACAGGAGTGTGTACTGAGCCCAGGTCCTTCTCCAGCTAGTGGCAAAACCTGAACTAGGAACCTGGTACTCGGTGAGGGGCGGGGAGCGAGCGCACGGGGTGGGGGGCGAGGCACAGGCCCCAGTGTTTTCAGCATGCTCTCTCCCTCCTGTTCTCTTCAGAAATGCCAGATACGAAAGCTGAAGATGAAGTGGATTTTGTGGGAAATGGCAGTGTGATTTCGGTTTCTGAAGACCCGGCAGTGGGCAGTGGCGCTCCTGCAGCCGAGACGGGACGAGGCCCGAAGAGCCAGGCGGTGAGTGCCATGGCCTGCTGGCCTGCCGCGGGCCTGGGTTGCGGGTGGCAGAGGGACCTGGTGCTTCACCTCCTCCTGCTGTGTTGTTGCGCTGATCCCTGGTGAATGGGCACCTGCATAGTGGGCACAGAAATGAGTTTGCCTATCTTTAAATGCCTGAGTAAATCAGCATGTGATAGGGCAAAGGGAGAGGGAGTCTCCTGTGGGAATCCCTTGGAGTTGTTGTGAAAAACTTTCTCGCTGACCTCGAGACTGCGACACTTGTCACAAAGCATCCCACAACGATGGTCACCGCCCAGATGGCTCTCGGGCCTCCCCTCCCCGACGCTCCGCGTACAGTGGTGGCATAGGTACGATTGTACCTCCCAGCTCAGTGGTCACTGCTGGAGTACAGAATGCGTCACAGTGAGGACAGCGGCTTGGTGTGTCTCTGTGACAGATGTACGGGATACAGGTCACACCCTGAGAAATCTGCCTATTCAAGTAAGGGGCACCGCTGAGTGGTTTTAATATAGCTAGGTTTGTGGAGGGACTTAAGCTGATATTCTGATTTTAGGAAAGGACTGTCACCCACCCCCCCAAACAAGCCCCGCTGTTAATCTGCTGCTCCCAGCCTGTCCCAGCTGCTTGCCATCTTGAATCCACTTCTTATTGTCACGGGTTTACCCTTTGTGGGACTTCACATCAATGGATGATGTTTTGTGACTGCCTTTCCCTCGGTGTGTTTTCAGGACACGCGTGTTGTAGCGTGTGGCAGCGTGTTCCTTGGCAGGTGCGTGCTCCATGCTGCGTCTGTTGCGGGCTGTGTGTGGGTCTGCAGGCAAGGGCACCTTGCAGAGCAAATTCACCTTAAAATTTTATTTTCCATAAATTTATGTGAAGTCTCCTCATTTATTTTCTTGAGGACCTAGTTTTTTTTTTCTTGTTAAAATACAGGAACACTCTTTATATTTTATTTTTTTATTTGAAGTTACAGAGAGAATGCTTCATCTGCCCAAAGCAGCAGCCTGGTGCTGCGGCCTGGCACGCGCGACTGCCTGAGTGTCTCCCAGGCTCGCCAGCAGGCAGCCAGACTCTTATGGAATCCTGCGTTGCGACGTTGGCTTCACCTGGTGTGCCATGCCACTGGCCCCAACAAGGCAGTCTTGTTGAAAGGAACCGATTCCGTGGCATCCAGAAACCCTTACAAAGCAGCCATCAGTGTGATGTCATTATCTTGTTTTGAATTGTTCTCTAGACATTTAAGAATGAAATATGAAATCCCCTGTTAAGGTTTTGCTGTTGTGAACAAACAGTTCACTAGAAGGAGTGTGTGAATTCCTGGCCAGAAGCATGTTAGTGCTCCTAAAGAAGACAGGCGGGTAGACTAGGCCTGCCTGCCTCCCTCCCTCAGTCCCTCCCTCCCTCCCTCCCTCCCTCCCTCCCTCCCTCCCTCCCTCCCTCTGTCCCTCCGTCTCTGCCTCCCTCCATCCCTGCCTCCCTCCCTCCCTCCCTCCCTCCCTCCCTCCTTCCTTCCCTCCTTCCCTTTCTCAGTCCCTGCCTGCCTGCCTCCCTCCCTCCCTCCCTCCCTCTGTCCCTCCATCCCTGTCTCCCTCTGTCCCTCCGTCCCTCCCTCCCTCCCTCCCTCCCTCAGTCCCTGCCTCCCTCCCTCAGTCCCTGCCTGCCAGCCTCCCCTCCCTCCCTCTGTCCCTCCGTCCCTGTCTCCCTCTGTCCCTCCGTCTCTGCCTCCCTCCATCCCTGCCTCCCTCCATCCCTGCCTCCCTCCCTCCCTCCCTCCCTCCCTCCCTCCTTCCTTCCCTCCTTCCCTTTCTCAGTCCCTGCCTGCCTGCCTCCCTCCCTCCCTCCCTCCCTCTGTCCCTCCGTCCCTGTCTCCCTCTGTCCCTCCGTCTCTGCCTCCCTCCATCCCTGCCTCCCTCCATCCCTGCCTCCCTCAGTCCCTGCCTCCCTCCCTCCCTCTATCCCTCCATCCCTGTCTCCCTCTGTCCCTCCGTCCCTGTCTCCCTCTGTCCCTCCATCCCTGTCTCCCTCTGTCCCTCCATCCCTGTCTCCCTCTGTCCCTCCATCCCTGTCTCCCTCTGTCCCTCCATCCCTGCCTCCCTCCCTCCTTCCCTGCCTCCCTCCCTCCCTCTGTCCCTCCATCCCTGTCTCCCTCTGTCCCTCCATCCCTGTCTCCCTCTGTCCCTCCATCCCTGTCTCCCTCTGTCCCTCCGTCCCTGCCTCCCTCCCTCCCTCCCTCTGTCCCTCCATCCCTGTCTCCCTCTGTCCCTCCGTCCCTGCCTCCCTCCCTCCCTCCTTTCCTGCCTCCCTCAGTCCCTCCCTCCCTCCCTCCCTCCCTTTCTCAGTCCCTGCCTGCCTCCCTCCCTTCCTCTGTCCATCCGTTCCTCGCTCTGTCCCTCCCGTTCTCCCTTCCTTCATGTATTTTGTGGTGAATCTCTGTCACAAGTTAAGTCAGGGCTGGGTTCTAGTTCTGTCTCTCATCAGCTGGCTTTAACTTGACCTTCCTGGACGGCTGTGTGCTAATTTTTTCATCTCTTGCCAACACCCGCACATCTGGTTGTGCTGTCTGCAAAGGGCTAGTTGGGTCAGGACTGTGATTGAGGTGGAGTGTCATTTGCTTAATACTAGTTAATCCAGTCCTCCTGGCTCATGCCTAGTCCGTGGGGTGGCCTTGAAAACAGTCATTGCTTCATTGAATTGTTGTTTCATTCATTCATCATTATCCAGAAGTAAAATTTGTGTGTTGTGGGGCCCAACATGGTGGCCTGGCGGCGTAAGTCCTCACCCTGAATGTGCTGGGATCCCATATAGGTGCCGGTTCTAATCTTGGCAGCCCCGCTTCCCATCCAGCTCCCTGCTTGTGGCCCGGGAAAGCAGTCGAGGACGGCCCAGGGCCTTGGGACTCTGCACCCACATGGGAGACCCGGAAGATGCTCCTGGCTTTGGATTGGTGCAGCTCTGGCCGTTGCAGTCACTTGGGGAGTGAATTATTATACAGAAGGTCTTCCTCTCTGTCTCTCCTCCTCTCTGTATATCCATCTTTCCAATAAAAATAAATAAATCTTTAATTAAATCTTTAAGATTCTTTAAAAAAATTGTATATTATATGCCTAAAAATTTGGAGTGGTAAATTTGTGGCCATGGCCTAGTAAATGTAAGTGGAGAATTCATTTGAGTCACCGTCTGAATCTGTGGCTGCCAGGGCATAGGACTCTCTGTTGAGTGGCACCACAAGTGTTTAGTGCACATGGCTACAGTCCTGGTCTCGTGTGTGCAGTACGGCACCTGTCATAAACCTGCTCTGCCTAACACATGTGCTGCAGAACAAGCCTCGGTTTCATAAAAGGAATTATGGGAACAAATAAAGGCATTTTGGGGTTAGCAGGTTCAGGGTTTCTTCGTCTTTCTCCACGTGATTGAAGGTTGTTCACCATGCAGGAGGCCAGGTCGTTTATCTGCGCCCACAGAGTGCGTCCCAGTCAACTGCCTGATGGCTCGATCGTGGTTTGTTGTTGGCTGTTACCGAAATCCTCCCGGGCGTCATCCCGTGGGTTTGGCCTCCCTTCTCATGTACCCCATGGTTTCAAGGTTCCCCCTGTACCTTTGGTTACTTTCTTTCCTCCTCGATGACTGTCTGTGGAATACACATAGCAAATGCTTAGAGCATAACCTGTTATACACTGCTTTATGACCTATTTTAAAGATTAGTTTTTTATTTGAAAGGCAGATTTAGAGAGAGAGAGAGAAAGAGATCTTTTGATGTGCTGGTTCATTCCCCAGGTGGTGGCAGTGGCCGAAGCTGAATGGAGCTTCTTCCTGCTCTCCTGCATGGGTGCAGGTACTCCAGGACTTAAGCCATTCTCTGCCTTCCCAGGCCATTAGCAGAGAGCTGGATCAGAAGTAGAGCAGCAGGACTCAAACCAACGCCCAAATGGGATGCTGGTGGTACAGGTGGAGGCTCAGTGTGCTACGCCACACCGGTCCTGAAATGTCTACTGGTTCGCTCCCTCAGCTGTTTAGCAGGTAGGCCAGGCAGCAGCCAGAAGCCAGAGACCCCATCCTGTCTCGCACTTGCTGGCCTCGTGTGCTTGGACTGTCCCCCACTGCCTTCCCAGCAGCCAAACACCCGAGGGCAAGTATGGTTAAGGAGAACTCCAAAACCAGTCTGTGGAGTGTTTGGTCTCGGGGAAAGTTGGCTCTGCACTTCACCCTGGTCGTCGAGAAGGTTCTCAGCTGGAAGCAGGATTCCTGTTGTGTAATTATACAGCCCCAACCAGTCAGCTGGATTTCCATCTTTCTCAAGAAGCATTAGTGTTCGGTTTCTAGCAAACTGCTCATTGCCGTGTCAGTCTTAGCTTATCTCCTGTTCCTTTTGCGTGCCTTTTGTGTCCTGTTGTTATTTCTAGTGGTGCACTGTTACATTGTTCTCTTTCTCTTGCATTTCCAGGAATTTAGTTCAAACAGTTTGTCTTGTGTGGGTGTTTATGGTTTCTGTACCCAGCTGTTGTTGGCAGCTACCAAGTGGTTAGGGAAGGAGACAGATGACCAGTCATGTCAGACCTGTGGGGCACTTACTCACATTTCCATGTCACTAAAAATGATGTGATGGTGTCCACAGAACGTCCTTGGAGCTCTGTGCTTGACCTCGGGAAGTAGGTGTGTGGTCGATATAACTGCTGAGCCAACACACGCAATTCAGTCCGGCATGAGGAGTCTGGATGGCGGGCTGCTGCCGCTCATGTCAGCATCGGTGTGGGAGCAGCTGAAGTCTCTGTCAGGCTGTCCTCAGAGAACCCATCTTGTTCTGACACTGCAGTATGAAATGCAGTAGTGTGTGGTGCCGCGGAAGCATGGGCTAGGGTGTGGCAGTTACTTCTGCCAGTGCGCATGCTTGGAAAATGTGATCCTTGGCTCTGGGTTAAGGTTACTGATGCAAGCTTGACTCAGAACCACTTAAATTTGATTTGAAAAGAACAAGCTTACAGGGTAGAAAACCTGAAGAAGAGTGTCGTGTAGTCTCCTGCTTGCAGAGTACAGGCCTTCCCTGGGCTGTGAGCGTGGAAGGCCAGGCTGCGCTGTGCAGGCCTTCCCTGGGCTGTGAGCGTGGAAGGCCCTGGCTGCACTGTGCAGTCCTTTCCTGGGCTGTGAGCGTGGAAGGCCCAGGCTGCGCTGTGCAGGCCTTCCCTGGGCTGTGAGCGTGGAAGGCCCTGGCTGCGCTGTGCAGGCCTTCCCTGGGCTGTGAGCGTGGAAGGCCCTGGCTGCGCTGTGCAGGCCTTCCCTGGGCTGTGAGCGTGGAAGGCCCTGGCTGCGCTGTGCAGGCCTTCCCTGGGCTGTGAGCGTGCCTAGTGGTGGGCACCACAGAAACAAGGGGCACATTGCAGGGGAGCAGTTCCCTTGTTGCAGGGACAGCCTCAGGCCGCTCAGTTCTTTGGCATGGCCTGTAACTGAGACGTTATTCAGCTAGTATTAAGTGAATGCCTTCCTGGGCTGAGGCAGAACATCGTGTGTGTGTGTGTGTGTGTGTGTGTGTGTGTGTGTGTGTGTGTGTGTGAGTGTGAGTGTGTGTGTGTGTGTGTGTGAGTGTGTGAAGATATATGTGCACACTCTAAGGACACGATGTGTGACAGAGATCTTTCCTCTGGTTCACTCTCCAGATGGACACAGCAGCCAGGGTGTGAGCAGGCCGGTGTCAGGAGCCAGGAACTGCATCCAGGTCTCCCACATATTAGCATGGGGCTAGGTTGAAAGACGGAAGCTTAACCACTGTGCCACAGAGCCAGCCCCATGAAAGCGTTTTCAAAAGTTAGGTATTTAGAATTCAGCTAACTGTAGCAAGCAGCATGTGTAGTTGGAATCACAT